CACATTTGCTTATGCACCCATTTAAGACTGCAACTTTTATGGGAGTAAAAAACCTCATCTCTCTGCCTGCTGTAAGTTTTGAACTACTGGCCTTGTGGTTACTATGTCACCATGGCCCCTCAAGCCAGATCCAGAAGAGATATAAAACAAAAGATACATTGCTGATGTCAACTTGGTGTTGGCTGAAAAAAGAGAGTATTATAAAGGCGTTTACTTGTGTTTTAATGACTATACAAAGGCAATTGACTGTGTGGATCATAAAAGAATACAGGTGACCATGTGAAGAATGAGATTCCTGACCTGTACAGAGACTAAGAAGCAGTCATTCAAGCACAACAAAGGCACTGTGTGGTGAAAAGCCAGGAAAGGTCTGTGGCAGGGTTGGATTTCTTTACTATTCTTATTCAATCTGTTTGCTGAGCAAATCATTCAAGAAACTGGGCTATTAGAAGAACATAGCATTATCACTGACGGAAGGCCCATTGACCTGTGACAAGCAAATGATACAACTTGCTTGCTGATAGTGGAGAGCTTAAAGCATTTACTGATGAAGAACAAAGACTTCAGTATGGATTATACCTCAACAAAGCAGAATCCTTACAACTCGACCATGAACAATATCATGATGAGTAGACAGACAGTGAAGTTGTCAAGGATTTCTTTTTACTTTGATGCATAATCAATGTCCATGAAAGCAGCAATTAGGAAGTCAAAAAATATATTGCATTGGACACATCTGCTACAAAAGATTTCTTTAAGGTGATAAAAAGCAAGACTGGCGCTTTGAAGGCTAAGGTGTGCCTGACCCAGGCTAGGGTATTTTCAATCACCTCATTGGCATGGAATAGTTGTGTGCTTTACACAATTGATGTGAATATGGATTGTGATAGGAGTTGTTTGAGCCCCTAATAAAATGATTTTAAAAAAAAGGATGATGATGAAATTGTGAGACACCTCATGACATGGATGGACTTACGAGGACATTATGCTGATTGAAGTTATTCAAACATATATTGCATGACCATATTTTTATAAAACAAAAAACAAACAAGATAAACATTTTCATACCAAAAGAAACACATTTGCTGGTCACCAACGGTGGGAGCAAGAGGTAGGGAGAGGAAGCAATAGGCTCGAGGTGTCAGCTAAGGTGAGGGTAATATTCTCCAAGAAGAGGAAAAAATTGTGTGGGGGGTGGGGGGTGGGACTGGCACAGAGAGACACAGTAAGTTATTGGGAGATTTTATAAGTTGCTTAAATTGCTTATGAAAATGATTTGAATTGTAAACTGCCACCCAATTCACAGTATACAATTTAAAAAGCACAAAATCATCTTTCTCCTGAAGAGAAGCTGGTGGATTTTAACACCACTGACCTTGTGGTGAGAAGCTGAATACCTAATCCACAGCACCATTCAAGCCAAGCCAAGCCAAGTCAAGCTACCTCAATGACATGGAGTCAACTCGGACTCACAGCGACCCAACAGGCCGGAGTAGAATTGCTTCTGTGGGTTTTGGAGACTGTAAATCCATATGGGAGCAGAAAGCCTTATCTTCCTCTGGCAGACCGGCTGGTGGTTTCGAACTGTTATCCTTATGATTAGCAACTCAGCACTTAGCCCAGTATGTCAGGGGACTCTTACACACCACCACTAGGGCTGAATAATTCTATGGCATTTCCTGCTAGTAGAAGTGGGGTAGAAGCTACAAACAGTACCATCTACTAAGAATCGCAATCCATTTTGCATGGCATTTAATACACTGGCGTAATGCTTAAGCTGGCAATCATACAAACTTCTCCCTAAATGCAACTCAAAGGAGTGTGGCTCTAGAAAAGAACAAGGTTATTTTCTTTCCCCTCCCATTGTTCTGTTCAGGTTGCAGTGGTTGTATTAAACCACAAGGTTTAGTGCCAACAATAGCAAATAAAAATGCTTAGATTTTCTCAGTTGAACAGGAATACCTTTATTTTCATTTAAAATGGACTTTATTCACAGTCTTGCCATTACATGAAAATAACATGTACTTAAGTGATGCTTTCTCATATCCATTTCCAGTCCAATACTGTAAACTCCAGCTCACGGAGCTTGCTAAGTGTCAGAATTAAGCTTCAATAGCTGAGTTTTGGAGGTAGAGCACCTGCCTTGTGTGTCTCCGCTCAACACCTCTGGGGAGCTTGGAATGGCCAATCTTGTTTAGCAGCCAAGTGCTTGCAAGGTATCTTAAACATTAATGTGTTTTAAAAACTTATTATTATTGAATCTCAAGTCAAATACCATTTTTTCACTTTCCCATTTTAAATGCTTACTTCATTTATTTCCTTTATTGCATCATTCACAACTTGACATTACCTCGTTACTTATTTTTTTCTTGTTTGCTCACTTATTAATAGGAGTTTTGCCAGTTTTGGTTTAAAGAAGACACAAGGTGTTTTTTCTTTTTTGACACAAGGTGGTTTTTCAATGAATGGATTCATTAAAAACTATTCTAAAACAAGAGTCACTGCTTTGATATCAATAAAATAAACCTTAACATTTAAAGATGCTAGTGATTCTGTGTCTTCCTGTGAATGAAACTGGCATTGAAATGTGTTGGAAGGCTGGCTAGGTGTCAGTAGTTGAAGGAAGCAGGGCATTTCCCCATGGGATCAGGCAAATGCTAAATAGGGTTTTAGCAGAACCAAGGTTGTCAAGTAGGAAGACTTCCTGCTTCATTCTGCATTCCTCCCATCACACTGGCTGTCTACATAAGCTTTGCTTGAAAAAAGGGTTCCTTTGCTTAAAAATAGGGGGCTGGGGGAAGTCACGGTCAGGGTTTTCCGGTCAGCATGATAATTGTGTGTTTACTGACTCATCTGTAGTGAACAATTCCACAGTTTTCAACACATCAAAGATTCAGCTGCTTGTCTAGTCTCTCTCTCAACCCTACTGCACCTTCTACAAAAATCAAAGCCTTTTTTATCATGCATACAATCACGAGCCCAGAAAGTAAACCTTGGCTTGATTTGGTGACAAACATGCGAAACGGTTCACTACAGATTAGTAATTAAGCACAAGCAAACGTGTGCTTACTTGTTTATTGGTTAATATACCCCTCTGGTGGGGTAAACCATTCCCAGTCAAACCCACTGTGGCTGAGTCAGTTGACACAGTGGCACTATCGGCAGCATCCAACTGGCCTGTTGGGTTTTTCAGGCTGTAGACAGGCTGGTGGATTTGAACCGACGATCTTGTTGTTAGCAGCTCAACCCACTCTACCACCAGGGCTCCATCACTGTTCTGGGACGTTTGGAACAAGACACAGTTGAAATTACTTAATCTTCTCAATTACATTTCTTTTTCCCCCCTAAAAGTTAATGTGCTCTAAGTACTGCGAACGTTTTTTGTAGTATGACAACACAAAATGATTTCTACCACAATGGAAAAGATTTAAACAATAATGCCTTTTAGAGCTTTAAGGATAATTTTAGGAAGACAATGTTTGTAAAACAGACAAAAAAACTTTGACTTTTAACTAAAAAAAAAAAGCGAAATTTTAAATGGGAGAATTTTAGGATCTTTTCCTTCAGAGATTTCTTCTTCCATTCTGTTAACCTTGTATTTACATTTTACTCCCCCCTTTCCAGGCTGCATTTTATCTTGAGCAGATTTAAAACCAGATTAGCAGTAATGGGATTCCTGGCTGTGGGCAGCAGATGTCTATGTGTCCCGGACGATCTCTCTTGCAATCAGCTCCTTCATTATTTCATTGGTCCCCCCGTAGATGGGCTGCACTCGGGCATCCACATAAGCTCTGGATAAATCAGAAGGCAATTGAATGAATAAATATTAAAAATTGTTGAGTCTGTCTTACTAGGTAACTATTACATTCTTAGAGCTTGTCTCTCTCCCAGACCACAAAACAAAACCCCAAAAAACATTTCTTCTCCGGGAAACCCAGAGTCAGCAATATTTACACTAAAACTGATAGAGCTTAATCTGGGCATAGAAGGAACAGAATTCATTTTTCCCCCATCTCAAATAAAAGTCTGCATAATACATCCACATAATTGTCTGTGTGTCTAGTTATCTTTTAGATGTTATGCATTATTCTCTTTTCATCTTTAAAAATAGTCTCTTTCCTATCTATTTGGGGAGAGAAATGACAAACAATAAAGTTCTAGCACAAATTTATTTTTCCAGGATGGCATTAAGCCCAGATTGGTATAATTTAAACAAAACAAAAGAAAAGAAAACAAAAACCCTTATGAGATTTTAGTAATCTGTGCAGTTTTTAGTTTGCTTGACAGTATAGCAAATAGTAAAAAGCATTTATAATTTTTCTCCCACCTACCCCAGGGGTTGGGGTTGCCATTGTTGGCTTCGCCCGCCTCCCCCCCAACCAAAAAAAAATTTTATTCGCATATAATTCACTTGTCATACAATTCAATAGTTCTATCACATCAAGATTTAGACATATTTTTAATGTGATTTAGTTTTGTCCAATTGAGCACATGACATCCCCAAACCAAACCCACTGTCATTCAGACCGTTCGGACTCAAAGCGACCCTTTATGGGGTTCCTGAGACTGCAAACTTTCATGGAGCAGGCAGCCTCATCTTCCTCCCGCTGAGCGTCTGGTGGGTTTGAACCTCTGATCAACACCCAACCCACGCATTGTAACAACAGTGTGTTGTAGATTTAGACATGCGTGGAGTATCTTAATTTCTTGATAACCTTGTTGTTCTCGAAAGCCTCTGTCTTAACAGAAAGAACATGTTTTTGAACATCTTTTCAAAGATTCTACCATCTAGAAAGGCACCGATACTTCAGAAAATGTCGTTTCCTCTACAGTTAACAAGTGACTTAATTGGTTAGAGATGGCCATAGTGGCCCCAGTAATGTATGGGGCCGGATCGCTGAGCAACCGAGTCCTTTGCCAGACAAACAAACGCACTGGCGGTGATGAGCGGAACATGTCTCTGTACAACGACTTTCGCTTGTCCTCATTTCCTTGGTCATGTCTCTGAGACCTGGAGAATACCTATTACCCTTCTGCAGGTAAAAGAATGTAGGTGCGGAGGAGGGAACGCATTTACTAATGGTTGCTCTTTAATGGCCACATAACAGATACTTGGCAGACTGGAACAAGAATGCAGACGTCCTGCTCTTTGGCAAGTATCTTTTGGCTCAAGCATTAAGGGCTGGTGATTGAGCTTTGAACTTTCCTAGTAGATAAATTTCTAGGCATTCCCTGCTCTGCCCGCCCCAAGCATAAAACCGGTTTGATGAAGTTTGAATGCAATTTTGAAGATAAATTAAATGCCCCAATTCTTTACGCACGGGTCCGATTTTAGATTTATCCTTCCTGTTCATCACAGCACCTTACAAACAGCAGGCACTCAGAAAATATTGACTGTCTTGACTGACTGCATTACAGAAGAATTTTAAGATCCCAGGGCCTATCATCTGAGGAAACTTAAAACCTAGAGAGGGATGTTTGTGTTTTCAAACTCTTCCCCCTCCCCCGTCTTTAACATAGATGTGATTCTCCACAAGAGCCAATGGTAGCCTATTGAGGGACCTGCATGCCTTCTGCAGGGATCCCACGTGTTTATGCATTTTTGGACTGGCTTGGGGTTTTTTCTTTCCACCAAGAAGTTCTCACCGAGAACGTGATGACAGACATCTGTAGACCTTTTATAAGTTACTAATTACATTCGGTCATCACCTAAAGTTAACAGAGAAAGGCAGCCGGGGGACTGTTTAACCACACACAGAGACGAAGCTCGGTATCTCAGGCTGCAATTCCGAGCACGGACGTGAAGTCCCGAAAGGGCAAAGTCTTAAGTTTCATTTTTCCCAGGTTACAAAGCACAAGCAGTCCCTCTTCTCTGTGAAACTAAGACTGGGCATCATAAGCATTAGCTAATAGACCTTAATCCTGCGAGAGTAGGAACACAATTCCTCTCCCCCCCCACCCCCAAATAAAAATCTGATGATACATTCACATAATTGCCTCCGATCCCTACATACTTAATTTACAAAGAACAGTAAAGAGCTCTTCCTTTTCCTGCACGCCATCAAAAGGGTGCAACAGAATAGCCAGACTCACTTTGCAATCGGGTACTCCCACATGTACCCCCAGCCGCCGTGGAGCTGCACGCAGTCATAGGCTACACTGTTTTGTAGCTCAGATGCCCTAGATGACAAAACAAAACACAACACACAGAAAGAGCATTTCCATGGATTTTCACCAGATGCTTCATAATCAGGACAACAAAGTACTTGTGTATGTCCCTAGTATTTTCACATCAGTTTTCAACCTGGAATATTATTATTTTAGCACCATGATATAAAGCACTGTTCTGTTTATTTATTCTATTCAATTTCTGATCGGAATGAGCACAAGTTAATGATTATTGAAAGGAATTTTTTCATAGCTTACTTTGGAGTTAATGAGATAGGAGAATGTTATTATTATTATTATCATTTTTAAAGAGGAAATTAAACCATTGTTTAAAAATCTGACTTAAACTGCAAGCTCTTTTCCCAATTAACTCATCTTTAACACCATTGTTAATCAGTCTTTAATTCAACTGAAAGTCTTTCTAAACTTAGAGGATATTTTTCCTTTTGAATTAACAGAGCATGCCCAACTTTGGATTCAACAATCAAGTGTTCATAGAGTTTCTCTTGGGTCTGGAAAACACCCTAAATAGAAAAATCCTGCCCAACCCACTCATTTCATAGATAACAAACAGTTGCCTAGAAAGAATTAAAGGAATTGTGCTAGGTAATAGTTGAATAAAAGAATTGGGACTCATCGCAGGACTCAGACATCTTACTGTTTTTGTCGCTTAGTCTCACTACACAAGCACTCTATTTCAGATAATTTGGAATAAGCTCTGACTTAGATGAACTAATCTGTCATTGTACTTCAATCTCAAGAGTTAAATACCAGCTTCAGTGATTTTTAGCAATAGGCTGAGTGGAAACTTTCAGCATCTCTTATAAAATGTTCTCACTGCTATTTTTTATTTACACAGCCTTCCTCATTTATGACCCTCAGGCTGAATTGAATGCTAGCAGCATCCCCCCACCCCCCCAGCAAACAGTCCACTTTAATCACAGTGGCACACATACCAGTATTTCGCCATGGAAGCAGTGGCAGAATCCAGACGTTTCACTTCGTGCAGCTGCAGACAGCTGTCCACAAAAGCCCTGGTTACACAAATGTGTGTTTTCAGTTCTGCTAGCTTATGCTGCACTGTCTTCAGTTTAAAGGAAAAGAGGAGAAAAGAGAGAGAGAACATGGTTGAAGTAAACACTTAGTCTGAGTCACCCAGCAGATGATGAATTATATCATGGCAGATCTTTAGAGCAAAACGAAAGTGGCAGTAGTGGGTTTTTGTTGTTTTTCACCTCAAAAGTCATATATGTTAATGAACCCATTGAAATGGCAACATCTCACTGTATGTCAACACTAAGAAAACCTGGAGTAAGAAAAGACACAGAAATAAATAACATCCTGCATTCTGTGTTTCTGAAACGTAGAACATGAAAGTCAACTGCTTGAACCACGGTGCGACTTTAATGAGTGAGCGCCATCTTGTGGTCACAGCTTTCCGGTCTTATTCTTGAGAACGCCTATTTCCTTCTGCAGACTCAATCCTTCAAGAATTGTTCTTTAAAAAAAGGGGGGGAATTGTTTTTTATTAGAGAAATTAAAGGTACTAATCTCCTGATTCTGCTTCTTTGACTTGGAGCCAAATTAAATTAGCTTAATGACTTGGAGTAATTAAAGAACAAGCTGGGGACACAAGAGGGTTTCTATGTGCTCATGATCACAACGTCAGAAATATTTACAGGACACTATATTATCAAGCTTTTAGTCTTTATCTGGAGAATGCAACCAAGTAGGAAAAGAATCAGAACGCTTAAGAAATAACCCTTCTGTAAGCCCCACAGCTTACCCCAGATCCTCAACACAGTCTACACCTTGACAGTGGTCTTGTTGGAAATTACTCTATAGATCATAGGTTCCCCAATCTTATTTGGCCTACTGGCCCTTTGTCAGAAAAAAATTACTCAGCACCTCTTTGGCAACTGATAACTTTTGTACTATAGCTCCTAATCCAGGATAGTCCTACGTTACTGTCCGTTGTCTGACACTGTTGAGTCTGTTCTGACTCACAGTGACCCGTGCACACCAGAATGAAATGCAGCCTGGTCCTGTGCCATCCTCACAGTTGTTCTTAGACTTGACCTTACCGATGCAGCCACTGTGTCAATCAATCCATCTCATCAAGGGCCTTCCTCTTTTGTGCTGCCCCTCTACTTTACCAAGCATGCAGTCCTTCTCCAGGGACGGCTCTCTCCTGACAACATGTCCAAAGTACATGAGATGAAGGATCTAGTCTAAAGAGCATTCTGGCTGGACTTCTTTGAAGACAGATTTATTGGTTCTTTTGGCAGTCCAAGGTACTTTCAGTGTTCTTCTCCAGCACCCTAGTTCAAACAAAGTGTGACTCAAAAGAATCAAACTACTGCCATACAGTGGATTCCGACTCTTAGGGACCCTGCAGGACCGGGTAGAATTGCCCCTCTGAGTTTCCCAGACTGTACCTCTCTATGGGAGTAGAAAGCCCTTTCTTCTTCCTGCCGAGCAGCTGGGTTTCAAATTGCTCACCTATGGTTAGCAGCCCAATGAGTAACTGTTACATCACCAGAGCACCTCAGAATAAATAGTAAATATCCGCTTTTGCAGCCCCCCTTCAGGGGGTGATATCGCCCTCTTTGGGAAACACTGAGTTGTTCTTAACTTGTTCTTACTTCAAACAAATTTCACTTCATTCCTGACACTTAGTTCTCCTACTTTGAAATGCAAATTTTATCTCCTTCTTTGGCCCTGACCTTTTTATTTAATTTTTTTGATAAAAAAAAAATTTTTGTGTGGTGTGTTTTTTTTTTTTTAATATTTTGTGTTTTGAGTGAAAGTTTACAGTGCAAGTTGGGCCCTCACTTGACATTTTCCCCACGAGTTACAATTTCTATAGCTCATCAACAATCAGCCGGTGTTCTGGAAGTTCCATTTCCAGGACTGTCCTTTCCCTGGCCCCTGACCGCCTGATCATCTTTGCTGTAGTATAAACGTTGACCGTTCAGTCTCATACTGATGATTCTTTTTATTTTTTCTATTGATGATTCTTAAGGAGAGTGTCTATGTGATGGGGAGCCTTCTTTAGTTCATTTGCCACTCTGCTATTTCTCTCCAAGATGATCTCAGGGCATAGATCAGGTTCAGGGCTTACAGTGTCTCAGAGCGATGATCTCGGAGACTTCTCTGCCTCCACTGGTCCAGCGAATCTGTTGGCACTGACTCTTAGACCTCACTGAGGAGACCGGCTTCAACTTGAAAGGCTGACTTTCCACTTTGAGCGGCCTCCCCAGGGCATCCTACTCTAGTGTACTGCTTCAGACCAAGGCCCCCTCTGATTAGCTGCATTTATCTTTCTTGTAGAGGAGCCCTGGGTATGTATTGGGCTGCGAATGATAAAGTTAGCAGTTCAAAGCTATCAGTCTCCCCCCTGGGAGAAAGAAGAGGCTTTCTACTGCTGTAAAGATTTACAGTCTTGGAAACCCACAGGGGCAGTTCCACTCTGCCCGATGGGGTCACTCTGAGTCAGCATGGACTCGATGGCAGTGAGATCTTCCTTATAAACATCCTGTTGCTGAGTTTACGGGTAACACCTTCATTGTGGCCAATGGAAGTCATAGATATGGAAGTAAGTGCAAAGTGGCCCAGTGAAACTCACACGGGAAATTAAACGCACCCACCTACATACCAGCAGGCTCATAGTTACGCTTGAATTCGCAAAGGAGAGTCGTGAGGTCAGAGTCTCAGAGGACGCTCTTACCGCTGCCTTGCCCTGCTGACTTCAGCAGCAATTCCCACACTGCAAATCAAACCACCACGTGAGGTCACTGGGCCAGGGCTTGGGGAGCAGTGAAGTACCATTTCTGGAAGTGAGCGGACGGGGAGAGTAATGAGTCAGGATTAGGAAAGTAGAGTGGCAGGTAGGTTAGGAGCATCGAAGGGCAGATTCCTCGTGAAGTCTATCAATATAACTATTTGCTGATTAAAAACAAACAGACACACACCTCACTGCCTTCCCCTGACCGCAGTCTTGTTTCTGAAATACAGGATGATCGGTATCTAACCATTTCAAGCTGACCCGGTAGGAAGGGCCGGAGCTCCTCTTTCTGCCTCTGAGTTCTGGGCTGTGATCCAGAACATACTAGACCACGTGAACACTTTCTTCCCGCTCACTCTTTCCTTTACGGTCCATCAGCAGGGGTCCCCACTCCGCCACACACATCCCCATTTCTTTACAGAAAATCTAGAAAGAGAAGAAGAAAGGAGCAAAGGGAGGAAATGTCCTCTGTCCACTGAAAACCCACGCGTTCTACAGTCCAGGACGATCCCTGGAGTGCCGTCTGCTCTGACGTATCTCAGCGACACAATCGATGGCATTTCCTTTGGAACCAAGGAGGGCTCTGAGCGTCTGGAGATACTTTTGCCCCCACACGATGCCAGGCTTGGAGACTTGTGCACTATTCACAACGTAAGCGAGTCAAGGTTTGCAAGCCAAGGTGAGGACCAGGAGCTCCTAGAAGCGGAGGTTAAATCTCAGACCAGGATGAAATCATTTAGAAGGCTTGCTTCAGTGCCTTCAGCGAAGTCCAGAGGCCTGACAGAGTCAATTCCTCCAAGAGGACATCATTTACTCTCTGGGGGATAAAGAGATTAAGTAGGTATACAGTCTTCACATTGAGTTGGATATTATTCAACAGACGTGGCTGTTCCTCTGCCCTGAAGACATTGACTGCAGCATGTTTTCTGAAATCACTCTCAAGTGAGGGAGAACTAATAGTTGTACCAAATTATCAACAGGCTGCTGCTTGTGAACAATCAACCTGCTCCTAGCAGTGTTTTTAACATCCTCTAGTACATGTTATTGCACCCAACTTTTTAAAAAAATTACGCTGAAGTTAAAAAGCGGAGTGCACAGGAGACGCTTTGTCAGAGTCTGGGACGATAAGATTCTCAGCATCGTGCTATTGTGGACTTGGAAGCCACTTTGCAGAGGTTCTGTAGCATGGCATTCCATTCAAATCACAGCACTAAGGCCAGACGTTTGAGATGATGCAGAAATGACCACGAAGACCTAGGAATCTGCTTCCCTAAAACCAGCCACTGAAGTCCAAGGGAGCACAGCCCTGCAGGGACCCTAACGCAGCGTAGTCAGGAGTCCCTTCTCTAGCACTTTGTGGCTCCAGAATCGAGAGCGTCTTTCTCACAGGAAACGACTCAGTGTCAGCAAACAAAGACTCAAGAAGACTTTTCACGTCGTCGTCGCCCAAGAGTGAAAAAAAAGTCGAAAGAAAAGGTCTAATGTCTCCACTTTAAACTGCTGAACAATAAAGATAGGGTATGAGTGGAGTGTTGGTTCCAAAGTTAGAGTTTAACTTCTCCATGTCTCAATCCCTCATCTGTAAAATGGAATAAGTACAGTACTATATATTACCGGGTTCTTGTGAAGAGAGCAAATCCATTTAGCAAAGTGGCTAGAACATAAGGATTAGTTAATGGAAAATATTATTATTGCTTTTTAAGGCCTGAGTTTTACTGCTTATTATCTACTTATGAGAATTAAATTTATTACGGAGAGCACTTCTTTTATTTTCATAATTTTCCTGGGAATGGACAATAAACCCTGGCGGCATAGTGGATTACGTGTTGAGCTGCTAACCACAAGGTCAGGAGTTCGAATACATCAACTGCTCCA